ATATATTTGGTCCTTTGGGACTGTGTAATGGTTGTCAATTTATTCCATTCAAGAAAAAATATGTTTAATATTTTGTTCTCTTAAACTATCTTTTGAAGCTATGCTGCTAACCAGGTACGGGCCAGAAAGGAGTTGGGCCTGACATCACCTTGGTCATAGCACTGAAGGGTAACAGTAATGTCATGATGATGTTTCTTTATTTGACCAAGGCCAGCCTTGTGTTCTTACCTCTGCCCATTCATTTCTGGCTATTGGAAATATACCTGCCTTTTGGGTGAGCCATCGAGGCCAAAAGTATCAGAGGGGTCAGATTCCAGCCTATGGGCCACTATGTGAATATCTCTGTATAAAGCTCGTTTGTAGGGCCAGCTCCAATTGCAGTAGCCCAAAGAAACCTGTCTGGACATGTGAATTCCTTAGAGTTGGTTCAGGTTCATCCAGCTAAAGGAAGCTAATGTGAATGAGCAGTAGCTCCGTATCCAGAAACTGGTTTCAACCAAAGCTGATAAAGCCTGAGTTTCCACAGGAAGTTTGGTGCTGAGCTGTGCAGAGTAATTGTTTAGCTGAGTGTTGCCAACCCTTTAGCCATGCTTTCTTAGCTTTATCCTTGCCTGTTCATAGGCACAGTCTGAACCAAAGCTATGGCTCACTGCTCACTTTTTTCTGCTCCCTAGTCATGCATAGTGGCAATGTAGAAAGGAAGACATGGACAGGGAGTTAGGAGACCTGGTTTCTATTCCCTATGCTTCTACTAACTAGCCTTGAGATCTTAACCGCTCTGTGCCTCAGTGTTCCCATCTGTAAAATGGGGATCATGTTAATTGCCCTACCTACCTCACAGGGTTGTTGTGAGGATAAACTGAGACAATGAATGAAAAAGTAAGTAAGTAAGTAAGTGACAAGTAAGTGCTATGCAAATTGTAAGAAATGGAAGCAATCACATTAAAGGCAATGGGATGGACATTGTCAGAAGGGTTAATGGGATTGTCCAGCCCTTTCTCTGTGTGGCTTAAATCCAGGTCGCCATTGCTTTATACATTTTCACTTAGCACAGATTTGTAATTATGCATGTAATAAAGCACAGCCTTATCCAACTTGGTATCTGGTGTGTTTTTGAAGACCCTAAACTTTGTAGCTGTTGATCTCTGACCATAAAAGAAAACAAGGAGGAAGGGTATATGGCTTGGGAGGGCAGTATAAAAAGCCAATGCCAGCTGGATGAGGTGGTGCACGCTTGTCATCCCAGCACTCAGGAGGCTGTGGCAGGAGTATCCCCACATTTGAGGCCAGCCTGGGTTACACAGTGAGTTTAAGGCCAGCATGAACTATGAAGTAAGATCCTGACTCAAACAAACAAGACACTATTGGCAGGCTCATTTTTTAAAAAAAGTTTTTTTTTATGTATTTAGTACAGGATCTGCAGGGTCTCACTACAGATCGGACTCATAGTGATCCTCCTGTTTTCAGCCTCCCAGGCACTGGGATTACAGGCTTGTGCCACCATGCCCAGTTAAAAAAAAGGTTTATTAAATATATTTAATTTTATAGATTCAGTAATTCTTTTTACTAGAAAGAGGCAAATGAGAGACAGCTTATGTTTTTTGAGACATCCCAGACACCTAGATAACGTCATTCATTATAGCTACTTAAATGTTCTTGTCTCATACATTGGTGATACTTTCCTGATGGCATGAGAATTACCAGGGAGCTGTTTCTTTGGTTTTTTTTTTCAGGATAGGTTCTCTCTATGTAGTTCAGGCTGGTCCTGAACTCACAAGGTAGCCCAGGCCTCCTTCCTCAGCCTCCTGAGTACTGAGATTACAGGTGTGTGACACCATGCCTGGCAGGAGCTGTTAAATTTCTTTCTTTTGGAGATCTTAGTGATGTAAGTTCAAGGACTTTGACATGTCTCTTGCCTCCAGTCATTTAAACAGGGCAGAGGAAAGATGATGAAAGTGTTTCTCCAGTGAATACCAGGGTTCTTAGTGCCCTCTTTATGGTACACTAGGAATAAATGTCTTCTGTGGGAAACACTGAAGTGACCATGTAAATGAAATTGGGATGGGCTGTGGAGAGATGGTTGGATATGCAAACATGTCCTCTTCATGCCCCTCTGAGACATGGAAAACAGAGGAAAGCTCCAGTTTGAAGTATGCCTTTCCCTAATTTTTCTGCATCTCATACCTCCATCCTCCCTCTTTTTTTGTTAGCCAGAAACTACCAGTAAGATTTTACCACATGTCTTAAGTTTTGGTTTAAAAAGAATTTCCCTGGTTGACATTTGATCACATCCATCTACATGAGTGTTGATTTGCTACTTTGCTGTCACTCAGTTTGGCCTATTTGGCATCATTTCAGGAAAGACATGCATGTAGAAGTAACTCCCTTAGAAACCTGAACTCACACCAGTGTTTTTCAGTTCTTAATATTTATTTACTATGGGCTCTTTCCACATTAACATCATCCATGCTTCTAAGCTCAATACCTCTTGAGAAAAAAATCAATATAGTACTGCTAACTAGCATCAACTCGTTAAGAATTAGAGTGTCATGTCTACTTACTGTAAGGGTCAGAAAAAGTTGCTTTCATGGAGTATGAGGTACAGGATAAAAACATCTGCTACAGGAACTACCCAGAGAAAAACCTGGAAATGACCACAAGATGTCAGTGCAATCATGAAAGTATTGATTCAACTAGGGTTTGCCCACAGAACTGAGAGCCAGCCAGAAACATTCACTGATACTCATAAACATGTGGTGTTGCTGGCACTAAATTTAGTTACATGGTGTTCAGAGTTTAGTACAATTTTTGTTTGAGATTCTGAGAATAGAACCCAGGGCCTTCATACTGAACTATATTCCTAGCCCTTTTTATTTTTATTTTTTAATTTTGAGACAATCTTATTAAGTCACTAAAGTTGCCCAGGCTGAGAAGGAATTTGTGATCCTCTTGACTCAGTTTCCCACAGTGCTGGGATTGCGAGGGTACAGCACCAAGCTTGACAGCATTTCCTTTGAATGTACACAATAAAAATTATGCTTTTTATTAAAAAATTAATAATAGTCCCTCTTGCAAAGGAGCTTAGCTATCCTTTAATCTGAAAAAATTTCCAAGCAGTTTGTGGAGTGTAAACAATGGGAAAAGTAAGTCCCGTTATCTTCCTAATTAGAGTGATCCTATCATTTATATGACTAAGACACTTTGACAATGAAAGAGTGCTATAATTTCCTAGGGACAACAGTCATAGAGTATCTCTGCAGACCAGGATACATACTCTGTTTCTCAGGCAGGAGCAGTTCCTGACCTTTGGATTCAGGTCTCCCAAGCTTCTTTCCTAGCTTGTGCCCTTTCTTGGGCTCCTGTGGACCCTTCCCTGGACTCTCCTCCCTCATAGTAAGTACTCTGAACTGGAACATTCTTACTCTCAAAAGCAATGATAGATGTCTGAGCTACAAGCAACATTCAGGGTAAGAGCTACTTTGCAGTTTCTTGGGCCTGCTCAAGCTGTCAAGTTGAAGAGGCTCCATGTCTATACACTTGCACACAGCTAGTATCTCTAGAGTATTGTATGATCTTCAGTCAGGAGGGTGTAGATAGACGAGAATATGGAAATAATGGGGCAAACACAGGATTAGTCAGAGGATCTGGCCTAAAAGCTTGCCATAAAGGAATTGTTACTAGTTTCGATCAAACCAATCTCAGGATCTCTAAGATTGTTCTTGAAGGAAGAGTAGCCTCTTGAAGAGGGGCTCCTGGACCTCGCAAGTGTATGTTCCAGAAAATTCTTCTTCTCTTGAGGGTATTTTTTCTGGTTACTTCACTGATCTAGGGGTGTGCTGGAGATCAGCCATTATTTTAATATTCTTGCCCAAGTATGCCACTATCACAACTGAGGTGAAGTACAATTTTACAACTAAAAGCTTGAGAAAAACAAAAAGGAGCTAATGTAAAGCACAAGCATCCTATTTACCTAGATCAGTAGCTCACAAACCCATTAGGATCATCTGAAATGGGTATTAAAATACACATTCCTAGATAATTAGGCACCAGGTCCTAGACTAATCTTTCAAAACCCCTGAGGGGAATTCAGGCTTTGTCTCAACCTAAATTCTTATCAGCCTCCTTGTAGTGGTGGCATATTAGTTTCTGCCACTTCTGGAGAGAATTTGGAACCCTGTTTCTTGTTTTTTTCTTTTTCCTGTTTCTTGTTTTGCTTTATTTTATTTGTTATTTTTTTGTACTGGGAATTGAATTCAGGGCCTTCACACTGGCCCATTTTATGTTTTATTAGTACTTGTGGCAGTACATAATCTTTTAATTCCTCATCACATAAAATATTTATTATTTTATTCATTTTTTGTACTTTTTCCATAATTTTATTGACAAATAGCAATGAGACAGTTTCAAATCAAATTGGTAGGACAGTTTCAATAATTAACACATTGCATACATTCTTCCTAGTGGTTAATTGCTGTACAAGATGCAGACTTGATATCCTATTTACAAACACTACTAGAACAAATCCCTCTATTCATTAAGAGAATGTAACTATATATCTATCCTAACCATTTTGAATACACACATACAAAATGGACATTCATTTATATATCCCCTTTTCTGTTTATTTCTGTCATTTGAATATTATAGGTGTGTTAACTCAGCAAAATATTCTAAAAGAGTCCAGTAATCCATAATAGTATTGGGTCTTCTGCTTGACTGGCAGTGTCAGAAATTGTGGACCTGAGACCCCTATAGCTCAACATAACTACATGGCTTTACTTCTTGTACTTCGTTTTTATACTTTTCTGCTGGATGCTTAAGACCAAGATAACACAAGACCTGTGCAACAAGAGTTGTAGCTTTTGGATCTCATAAGGTCA